ACCATAAACTTCTCGAACTGCATAACCATAACAAGAACTATTGGAAATTGTTGTTAATGGTGTTAACGCCTTGGATATAAGGTCTAAACTGCCCTTTTTATCATCAATCAACCCTAACCTGAAAACTCTCTCAGTAGAAGTAAAAAAGTCAATGCCCATTAAAATAAGGAGTAAAAAGTACATAAAGGCAAAATTGGCCAAAACATTTCATGTGCTTCGCACATGATAACCTTACCCAACTGCCGTCAGACATGGTAGCTTAGTAAAAAACAATTCATGATAGCTTTCTCCGATACAAAGACTTCAAGTTTTGTACAAACCCCCAAACTTCATGGTAGTTTTATGAAAGTGAACTTTTTTTTTCTTTCATACAGCGTTTCAAATTAATAACTACCATAAACTTTTAAAACTTCATAAAAAGTAAACTATCGGAAATTGTTGTTAATGGCATTCACGTCTTGGATAAATTATTGTCAACATTGTACTAAACATGCCATTTGTGAAGCACGTGATAACTAACCCAATTGCCATCGGACTTGGTAGTTTAGTTTAAAAAAATTTATGGTAGTTTTCTTTAATAAAAAAACCCCCCCCCCCCCCCCCACACACACACACACACACAAAAAAAGTTGATGGTAGTTTGGTGAAATGTGACTGTTTTCCTTTGTCATGCAGTGTTTCAAATTCATAAAGATTGCACCATGAGGTACCTCAAGGCGGAAGAACTTCTTCACTGCTTCCTTTGTCTCAGGTTTTCCAGCAGCAGCAACGGATTCTATTTCAACATTTTTCTTTTGGGTAGTATTTCGACGTGCTGCGCCCTGAAAGTCACAAGCTTATGAATAAGTTACAGAGTAAAAATTTAATAAAGTTGACCATAATTGTGAAAAATTATAAAAATACTCACGGCTGCTGATGCGTCTCTACTAAGCTGAGCAAGTTGGACGCCAAGGCTTTGATGCATTGACATATACTGGCCAGCAGCAGGGTTCCGATTTGCTGACACAGCCTGCCAGTTTAATGCAGGCCTCCATACACTTTGTCTGGTCACCTTGAAACCCTGTGAAATATTTTGATAAAAAACTTTGTCTCGAGATATATAGAGTGAAGAGGGATGATGTAAGCAGAAGTGTATGGAATGTAAGGCAAAAATTTAGCAAATTCACAGTATCAATAGCATCAGCAGAAAAATAAGTTCAGTGGACATCCCAATCCTCTTCATCCTATCCTAGAAAAAAAATGAAAGCATTACGTGACCGATGCGCCAACATATGCACACAAAACAAAACAAAACAAAACAAAACAAAACAAAAATTTCATCCTCAAATGGTTTATTGGTCCAAAAAAATTGTCTTTCTGTGAGGATAAAAGAGTCAAAAAAACATCACTCGGGCCTAACTGCAACAGAAGAACTACAGTCTATCTGCAACTAGGCAACTACAGGGGGGCCTATCCGCAATTGGGTAATAACAGTACAGGGGTCTATCTGTAACTACCCTAGATTTAATTGTAACAATTTGTGGGACTCATTTCAAATTTTGATTTTGTGGGACCTATTTGAAAGTATTGATAACTTGGAGAGAAAATGCAAGAAAACCCCTTAAAGTTTAACAGCTACAGTTCTAATAAGGCCACTAAAGCATTCTTCATAATCCTTGCTTAAGTCCCATCTTCTAACAGATACGGTGGGCTAACAGATAATAAACATGTTATGTTAGACTAACAAAAGAAAGTCATGCACAGATAATAAACATGTTATGTTAGACTAACAAAAGAAAGTCATGCGTCAATGGAATACTTGACAATATTCCAAATTCACATGGTGAGAAAATGCTATGAAATATCATTTGAAGCATTCCAGTTTGGCCTGTATCTATGACATCCTCAGTATAGGAGAGTTTACAATTTTGTTAAACCTGATATACAGGATGTAGTGCAATTCTTCAAAATATCATCCTCTCAACTAGCCTGTTTGAATCGTTCTAGCTTATTCCACCCTGCTGTCATTATCATAAGAAAAGGGGAACTTTTTGAAATTTCTTCCATCTCTCTCATATTCCAAATTTGTGATTACTATTACTGCAGTCTCACTAATTATAAAAGCTCTTTTGAGCAACCTGATAGGAAGATACGTACACAAATACGAGCAATGTTAAGGCATTGGATAGTTTTAGTTTTAAATTAAGATTTAAATATTTAACCTTGTCCTATTATTTAATGAAATTACAAAGCCGAAGCACAAAGGTCGAATTTGGCCCTCCTTTTCTAATAATCACAAATGTTGAAACTTAACAATAAGTGTTGAGATGAGACAAGGAACCATGAATAGTTGTCAAAAGAGTCTTTTTCTAAGTCCAGAAATATAAGAGCGATCGAACATCAACTTATGAAGACCTTCACTGCCTATCGCCGAAAGACAACAACTCAATATAAAGGGTCAGAATCAACGAGCAGTCATGATATGTGGAAACCACTTGAATAACTTGTGCCGAACCTCCTTGTGCACCATCAAAGCAAGTAAAATATCAATTTATCCTGGTTGTATGCCAGAAGAACTCAAAATTTTCAAAGAAAGAAACCATGAATATTTGTCATTAGGGGTGCAAAACAGTCCGGATATATCCGATCAGCAACCGTATCCAAAACGGATGTAGATAAGATAGCCAAATTTTGAAACTGGTCGGATACAAGTACGGTTTCAGATATGGTTTCGCATTTTTGGTCGAACGCGGTTTTGGATGCGAATATCAGTTCAAATTTCAGATATGCTCTGGATATCCGAATTCGGATATGAATTCGGATATATACTCGGATATGGATTCAGATATAGATTTGGATAAGAATTCAAATATGGATTCAGATATGGATGTAAATACGGATATCATTACATATATGAATATTACTAATTTTTTTATTATCTTCACAACAATTGCCTGCGCTTTGGGATGTGGTACTATGTTTTGTTCTTTTATTAAAACATGCTTTTTATTGAGGTAAGCAATTGTACATTTTAGACTTATTTATAGTCAATTTTATGTTATACTATAAATAGATTTATTTTTTCAATAAATAAAATAAAATGTGAGGTCTAGAAGAAAATTTTGTAGCATTTTGTGTTTCAATTCTTGTCTTGCACTTTTTTTTAATCAACTGCATACAATTATTGGCTTTGTGAGGTTTCCTTAGGTTAGTGTGGTTGAAATTTCGTAAAGTTTTACTGTCTAAATAATTTTTTTTAATTTAAGACTTTTATTATCCAATTAACATGATAGTTTTTGTCATATCTGAGTCATATCTATTTCCCAAGTATGTGATTTTTATATGTAATTGTATCTGTATCCGCTTCTCTAATATCCAAACCATATCTATTTCCATTTAATGTGGATATAGGTAAGACTTTTTCTTACCGAAGAATTTCCATATATGTATATGCATCCATTTTTAGAAAGCGGATATGAATATGGTACGTATCATATCTAAACGATATCCGAACCAAATGCACCAATAGTTGTCATCCATCAAAAGCGTCTTACTCCAAATCTAGAAATATAAGAGCGAGCCGACATCAACTGGTGAAGACCTTCATTGCTTATAGACAAAAAGGCAACAATTCAATATAAAGGGTCACAATCAACGAGCGATCATTACATGTGGAAGTCGCATGAATTACTTGTGCCACTTCTCCACCAACCAGAAAGCCTTGAACACCATATTGGCGTTCAACCTACATAATGGCTTGGTGAAGATTCACTGAACAGTTTGCCATCCTTGAGCTGACACATTATATCCCAAATCACTTGCCATCTTAGAGCTGACACATTATATGCCAAGTCAGTTGATCTCAGATACAATTACTGCTCCCAAACTTCCACACTTCTATACCCTTCGTACGCACTAGATGTCATGGTGAAAAATACAAATTAGACTTGCTAGCTATGACAATCTAAGAACACAAATTACTAAGTGCATTTTTTCGATAGCTCAATCAAGTGGTTTCATGGAGGAATATCGAGAAAAAAATGCATTTTTCTATCAGAACAATGCACCACACGGCATTGATTTCTACTTTGTAGGGGGCAATAAATACCCAAACCACCCCCAAAAAATGAAATCTCAATGGCTAAGAACACCCCACATGATGCGTGCATTCCAACATGATTCCTACATAAGGAAAAACAAGCCTAGATGTATGCATGACATAGACTATATGCTAACATTATTTAAATTTCAACTAGCAAGTTTCATCTTCTTCTTGCTTTCTTCTTAGACTGTCACGCCTCTTGCAAAACACATCTCATACATGCATATCACATTCCCAAAATCGCATTGTGTTGTAAGAGCTTAGAGAAATCTATTACTATTCATATATGTTAAAACAACATAGTTAGGTTAGGTCAGATCCATTTGTGTCAAACCTCCTTGGCTCCTTGTACTATCAAAGCAAGTAAAATATTCATTTATCCTGGTTCTACGCCGAAAGAGATAAAAAGTTCCACGGGTAATAGGCCGCTTTTTTGGCATGCAGACATATATATTCTGATGTTGGTTTTATTTATTTACAAGGTTTTAAATGTCAGATATCTGGTAAATATTGGATGGCCAAAATTTTTATCGGATTGCAGATATCGAGGATTAGTAGTAAAAAATGAAGTGCCAACTAAGATGATGTGCATAAATAATATAATGTCCTTAAATGTACTCTACACAATCAAATCAAAGCATACAAAACGTAAACAATATGCTTAGGATTACTAACTCTTAAATTTAATCTCTCTAACCATTATACCAAAACTACGAAGTTATGATAAGGATCGAGGATTATAGTGTTATAGTAATTCTAACATGCCCCCATAGATTGAATGTCCTTTTTATGCGCTAAAACCTAGACTCGCACAGTGGTGCTAATTTTTGAATAATCCACTTAAAATTCGTAACTGGTGGGATTTGAATCTGGGTCGCTCTGATACCATCTTAAATTTAGTCCCTCTAACCATTACACCCAAACTCCTAAGTTATGGTGAGAGTCGATGATTATATTTTTATATTAATTCTAACACTAATCAGTTGAAGAAAGTTACTTAGAGAAAAGAGTCTTCTAGAATTTTGCTTTAGAAACTTCAAAAAGATGGAGTTTTTGCTTAAAAACATTAAAGAAATTTTGTAGAACTTTGTTTTGCTCAAGCTATATAAAAGGATATGTCGGTCAACCAGTGTTTTTAAGGGCGCATTCAGGTGCGCGCCTCGAGCGCGAGGCGCAGTGATGTAGCGCCTCACAGCAGGTGCGGGGCGCTACGCTTGGGCGCACGCCTAAGGAGCGCCCCGTAGCGTTCGGCAAGGCGTGCGCCTCAGTAACAGGGCACAATCTTGGGTACAAACTCGCTTTCCACAAACCCAAAACGAAAAAAGAGATGATCGCTTCCTTCTTCCACTTTTTCTCTCGTTTTCTCCTTGTGGTCTTCACTCGGCAGCAGCAAGCAGCAAAGACGAGCGACAATCGGCGACGACGAGCGGCAATCGACGATGACATGCTGCAATCGGCGACGGTGAGCGACAATCGGTGACGGTGAGCAGGTGAGCAGCAGGTACATTCTTCTTCTCCTTTCCTCTTTGTTTTCTTTTGTTTTCCTTTTTTTACTCCTCAGCGATGTTTTTCTGGTCCTTTTCTTTTTCTCTTTTCATTTTGCCTTCTCTCTTCGCCCTTCTTGTTGAGATTCCCTATCCATTTGCAACTAAACTTAAAATCTAAGTTGTTAGTTGTTGACTGTTAAGCATAAACTGTTAAGAGTGAGTTGTTACTTGTTTGTCCTTAATTAAGTTCTTGATTGTTAATTGTTAACCGAGAGATTGCTGAGATTTGTCTTGAGTCTTTACTGTTAATTGTTAAGAGAGAATGGAACTTAATGAATTAGTTATAGACTTATAGTATCTTCACTCTTTAAAGCTTCACTGTTTCAGTTCTTAATTAAGTTCACTCTTCTAAACTTGATTTGATTTTATTGTTAACTAACTTACAAAGAGAGATTTAATGTTAACTTACTCTTCCTAGTTGTTAGTTCTTAA